GAACCGGGACCCTCTCACACTACCTAACAAGGCCAGGACAACCTCTGCCCCTCTCCACCAAAATCCAAGAGGTCAAGTGGATGTTGGAGGTGGCGTGGGCCCAGGGAGGTCTCTGACCTCTGCCCCAGCTCCAAGGTCAGCACGCAGGGAGGGCTGTGTGTTTGCTGTTTGCTGCTTGCAATGTTTGCCCATCTCAGGGACGGGAACAGGCTGAAGGTCATTCAGGCTGGACTTCAGAGGCAGCACACAAACAGCTGCTGGAGGATGGGAACTAAGAGATCGGAAGGGGGCGGGGTGGGCCCCAAAACCCAAAAACAGAGCCTGCAATTCTGTTCTCTAAGTCACCAAGCCCCCAAACCACTCTCATCTCCTTCTCTCTATCCCTGGATCCTGTCCCTGGTCTGAATCCCATTCCCTCATCCCCCAAATCCCTGCACCCTCCTCTCTGCTAATCTTCTGGTGTCTCTAGCCGCTCCCCTCCTGGCTGGATACTCTGGGTGATGGTAGGGAAGGCTGGGGTAAAAAAGAGTTTGAAATGTCCCTCCTAATGCATGTTGAAAAATTGAGTTATAATTCACATTCCATAAAATTTACCTTTTTTTTTTTTTTTGAGATTGAGTCTCACTCTGTTGCCCAGGCTGGAGAGCAGTGGGGCAATCTCAGCTCACTGTAGCCTCTGCCCCCAGGTTCAAGAAATTCTCATACCTCAGCCTCCCAAGTAGCTGAGACTACAGGCACCTGCCACCATGCCTGGCTAATTTTTAAATTTTTAGTAGAGATGGGGTTTCACCATGTTGGTCAGGCTGGTTTAGAACTGTTAAGCTCAAGTGATCTGCCCGCCTCGGAATCCGAAAGTGCTGGGATTACAGGCATGAGCCACTGCGTCCGGCTAAATTTACCCTTTTAAAGTGTACAGTTCAATGGTTTTTCCTATACTGGCAAGGATGCACAATCATCACCAGTATCTAATTCAGAACATGGATCACTGCAGCCTCAACCTCCCTGATTCAAAGCCATCCTCCTACCTCAGCCTCCCGAGTGGCTGGGCCCACAGGTGTGCACCACCATGCCCAGCTAATTTTTCTTTCTTTTTTTTTTTTTTTTAGGAGTGATGGGGTCTTGCTATGTTGCCCAGGCTGGTCTTGAACTCCTGAGCTGAAGCAATCCTCCCACCTTGGCCTCTCAAAGTGTTAGGATTACAGGCGTGTGCCACCACGTCTGGCAAGGGATGATTTTGGAAGAGAACCGGAGGAAGTGAGGAGGGAGTCAGGCAGATATCTGGACCCCTGGGAAGAGCATTCCAGGAAGAGGAACAGGAACTGCAAGGGCCCTGTGGTGGGAGCGTGCCCAATACGTTGGAGGAATAGCGAGGAGTTGCTTGTGAGTGATGGACAGAGAGACAGAGATGAGGCGATCATGGACAGGGTAGTGTTCCGTTTATAGGCCTTTGGTAAGTTCTTCTGGGTTGACTCTGAGAGTCAGGAGAGTTCTGAGCAGAGGAAGAGCATAGTCTGCCTTGAGGCCGGACACGGTGGTTCATGCCTGTAACCCCAGCACTTTGGGAGGCCGAGGAGGGTTGATCGCTAGAGCTCAGGAGTTCGAGACCAGCCTGGGCAACATGGCGAAACCCCGTCTCTACTACAAATACAAAAATTATCTGGGTGTGGTGGCACACACACGCCTGTAGTCCCAGCTACTCGGGAGGCTGAGCAGGAGAATCGCTTGAACCTGGGAGGCAGAGGTTGCAGTGGGCTGAGATGGTGCTGCTGCACTCCAGCCTAGGCAACAGAGTGAGACTCTGCCTCAAAAAACAAACAAACAAAAAGTCTGACTTGAGTTCTAACAGACTGCTGAGTGAGAAGAGAGGAGAGTATAGGAGTTTGGAGAATTGATTTTTGGGGAGAAGGGAATACATTAACCCCAGAGAGTAATATTTATACATTTATGTATTCTCTTTATATCTTTTTTTTTTTTTTGGTAGAAACAGTGTCTCACCATGTTACCCCGGCTAGTCTTGAACTCCTGGCCTCAAATGATCCTCCCACCTCAGCCCTCCAAAGCGCTGGGATTACAGGCATAAGACACTGTGCCCACCTTCAGGATTTCCTTTTTCTTTTTTCTTTTTTTTTTTTTTTTTTTTTTGAGACAGAGTCTTGCTCTGTCCTCCAGGCTGGAGTGCAGTGGCCCAATCTTGGTTCACTGCAAGCTCTGCCTCCTGGGTTCACACCATTCTCCTGCCTCAGCCTCCCGAGTAGCTGGGGCTACAGGCGTCCACCCCCATGCCCGTACGCCCGGCTATTTTTTTTGTATTTTTAGTAGAAACGGGGTTTCATCATGTTAGCCAGGATGGTCTCAATCTCCTGACCTTGTAATGCACCTGCCTTGGCCTCCCAAAGTGCTAGGATTATAGGCGTGAGCCACTGCACCCAGCCCAGGATTTACTTTTTTCTTTTTTTCTTTTCTTTTTTTTGAGACACAGTCTCGCTCTGTTGCCCAGGCTGGAGTGCAGTGGCACGATCTTGGCTCACTGCAACCTCTGCCTCCCGGGTTCAGGCAATTCTCCTGCCTCAGCCTCCTGAGTAGCTGGGACTACAGGTGCCCGCCACCATGCCTGGCTAATTTTTGTATTTGTAGTAGAGACGGGGTTTCACCATATTGGCCAGGCTGGTCTCAAACTCCTGACCTTGTGATCCGCCTGCCTTGGCCTCCCAAAGTGCTGGGATTACAGGCGTGAACCACCGTGCCCGGCCCAGGATTTCCTTTCATGTTTTGAGATGGAGCCTTGCTCTGACACCCAGGCTGAAGTGCAGTGGCATGATCTTGGCTCACTGCAGTCTCCACCTCCTGGGTTCAAGCGATTCTCATGCCTCAGCCTCCCAAGTAGCTGGGATTACAGGTGCACACCACCACACCTGGCTAATGTTAGTATTTTTAGTAGAGATGGGGTTTCACCATGTTGGCCAGGATGGTCTCCAACTCCTGGCCTCGAGTGACCCTCCTGCCTTGGCATCCCAAAGTGCTGGGATTACAGGCGTGAGCCATCACGCCCAGCTTCAGGATTTCCTTTTCTTTTTTTTTTTTTTGAGACTGGGTTTTGCTCTTGTTACCCAGGCTGGAGTGCAATGGCGTGATCTCCGCTCACTGCAACCTCCGCCTCCCGAGTTCAAGTGATTCTCCTGCCTCAGCCTCTAGAGTAGCTGAGTTTACAGGCACCCATCACCACGCCCAGCTAATTTTTTTGTATTTTTAGTAGAGACGGGTTTCGCCATGTTGGCCCAGTTGGTCTCAAATTCCTGGCCTCAAGTGATCTGCCCGCCTCGGCCGCCCAAAGTGCTGGGATTACAAGGGTGAGCCACTGAGCCCAGCTAGGATTTCCATTTTAAGGCTGCATTACATTCCATTGCATGTATAGACCACATTTCCTTGACCCATTCATCTGTTGATAAACATTTAGGTTGTTTCCATATCTTGGGTATTTTTTTTTTTTTTTTTTTTGAGACGGAGTCTTGCTCTGTCGCCGAGACTGGAGTGCAGTGGCCGGATCTCGGCTCACTGCAAGCTCCGCCTCCCGGGTTTACGCCATTCTCCTGCCTCAGCCTCCCGGGTAGCTGGGACTACAGGCACCCACCACCTCGCCCGGCTATTTTTTTGTATTTTTTACTAGAGACGGGGTTTCACCGGGTTAGCCAGGATGGTCTCGATCTCCTGACCTCGTGATCCGCCCGTCTCGGCCTCCCAAAGTGCTGGGATTACAGGCTTGAGCCACCGCGCCCGGCTATCTTGGGTATTGAGCAGAGCTGCAGTGAACAGGGGAGGGCAGGTATCTCTTCAAGGTCCTGATTTCAATTCTTTGGAATAAATACCCAGAAATGAGATTACGGCATCATTTGGTAGTTCTGTTTTTAACGTTTTGAGGAACCCCCATACTGTTTTCCACAGTGGCTGCGGTGTTTGGTGTTCCCACTAGCATTGTAGGAGTCCCTTATATATTTTGAATATTAACCCCTTATTAGTTATATGGCTTACAAATATCGTTCTTATGAAATCTTAAGCTGGGTGAGGTGGCTTACACCTGTAGTCCCAGCACTTTGGGATGCCAAGGCGGGTGGATCACTTGAGGTCAGGAGTTTGAGACCAGCCTGGCCAACATAGCAAAACTCCATCTCTACTAAAAGTACAAAAAAATTAGCTGGGTGTGGTGGCACGTGCCTGTAATCCCAGCTACTAGGGAGGCTAAGGCAGGAGAATCCCCCAGGAGGCAGAGGTTGCAGTGAGCTGAGATCACGACATTGCACTCCAGCCTGGGGGACAGAGTGAGACTCTGTGTCAAGAAAAAAAAAAAAAAGGCCAGGCACGGTGGCTCATGCCTGTAATCCCAGCACTTTAGGAGGCCAAGGCAGGTGGATCATGTGAAGTCAGGAGTTCGAGACCAGCCTGATCAACATGGAGAAACCTCATCTCTACTAAAAATACAAAAATTAGCTAGGTGTGGTGGCACACGCCTGTAATCCCAGCTACTTGGGAGGTTGAGGCAGGAGAATCACTTGAACCTGGGAGGCAGAGGTCACAGTGAACTGAGATTATGCCATTGTACTCCAGCCTGGGCAAGAGGAGCAAAACTCTGTTTCAAAACAACAAAATATAAAACAACCTCAACCCCTCATCTCGGGTAGACCACACCAGGAAAAGAGTAGCGTAGTGACATTGCCAGGTTGAGGGTTCAATCTAGTCCCAGTTCTCCACTTCCTGGCTGTGTGACCTTACACAAGTAGCCTCACCTCTCTGGGCCTCAATGCCCTTATGGGATTAATAAGGCCCAGTTTGCAAGGTTCTTAGGAAGATCCTTTTGAGACCACGGAGTTAAAACATCCTCAGCACAGGACAAGGAGATGGGGCATTGGAGGGCTTGTGAGGAGTCTCTAAGGTACAGCCTCTGCCCTCTCCCGCAGCCCCTACCCTCTCTGGCACCCCTGGCCCACAGTGAAGAAGCACTCAGGAGAGAATTTTCTATAGGCTTTTTATTGGTGGCACCTGGGGCCACATGGAGGGAGTCCTCAGCACAGGTGCTGAGGTGCGGGAAATTTCAGAGCCCCCTCCTGGGATGTCACCCTTCAGGTGCTCATGAGTTAATCCTGAGTTTCTCCTTCACTTTCCGAAATGTCTCTGAAAACCAATCCCTGTGGGGAGGGATAAGGAAGGGGTCACCGTGTGCAGCCCCTCCCAGGCTGTCCACATTCTACCTGCTACCTGACTCCCACCTCTTCCCCTTCCTGAATCTCCATCCCCACTGTCTGTGGGATTAGGAGGTCCGCTGGGCTGGGTGGGCCAACTTGTGTGCTTCAGTTTCCCAGATGGACCAGAGCACGATGAAGTCTAAACACTTTACCCTTGACTGGGCATGGTGGCTCATGCCTGTAATCCCAGCACTTTGGAAGGCCGAGACAGGCAGATCACTTGAGGTCAGGAGTTCAGGACCAGCTTGGCCAACATGGCGAATCCCTGTCTCTACTAAATTACAAAAATTAGCCACGCATGGTGGTGCATGCCAGCTACTCAGGAGGCTGAGGCAGAATTGCTTGACCCTGGGAGGTGGAGATCGCAATGAGTCAAGATCACGCCACTGCATTCCAGCCTAGGCAACAGCGTGACGACTCCATCTCAGAAAAAAAAAACAAAAAAAACCCTGGCCTGGCTTTCAAGGCCTGCCATCTCTTGCTACCAACTCTTTCTTCCAATCTGCCCTTGCCTTAGCTGTTCTCATTCAAAGGTACTTTCCAGTCTCCCTGCCTATGCCCAGGCTGTTCACATGCCTGGAATGCCACCCGCTCTTGATTATGATTATCGATCAACCTTCTTGGCTTAGGACCTTTGCCTCTCCCTCCAATCTTCCTTCCTTCCTTCCTTCCTTCCTTCCTTCCTTCCTCCCTTCCTTCCTTCCTTCCTTCCTTCCTCCCTCCCTCCCCTCCCCTCCCTCCCCTCCCCTCCCCTCCCTCCCCCCCTCCCCTCCCCTCCCCTCCCCTCTCCCCTCCCCTCTCCCCTCCCTCCCCTCCCTCCCCTCCCCTCCCCTCCCTTCCCTCCTTCCTTTTTTTTTTTTTTGACAGAGTTTCGCCTTTGTTGCCCAGGCTGGAGTGCAATGGCGCGATCTCGGTTCACCGCAACCTCCGGCTCCCAGGTTCAAGCGATTCCCCTGCGCCATCATCCCGAGTAGCTGGGATTACAAGCATGCGCCACCATGCCCGGCTAATTTTTTGTATTTTTTTTTTAGAAGAGACAGGTTTTCTCCTTGTTGGTCAGGCTGGTCTCAAACTCCCGACCTCAGGCAACCCACCCACCTCGGCCTCCCAAAGTGCTGGGATTACAGGCATGAGCCATTGTGCCTGGCCTACTTTTGTATTTTTAGTGGAGATGACGGTTTCTCCATGTTGGTCAGGCTGGTCTTGAACTCCCGACCTCAGGTGATCCGCCTGCCTTGGCCTCCCAAGGTGCTGGAATTACAGGCATGAGCCACTACACCTGGCTTCCAATCTTTCTAAGTTTAGTCCTGGCTAGATTTTCCCTCCCTCCCTCCCTTCCTGCCTCCCTCCCTTTCCCTCCCTCCCTCCCTCCCTTCCTTCCTTCCTTCCTCCCCCCCTTCCTCTCTTTCCTTCCTTCTTTTCTTTTCTTTTCTTTTCTTTTCTTTTCTTTTCTTTTCTTTTTTCTTTTCTTTCTTGTTGAGACAGGGTCTCATTCTGTTGCCCAGGCTGGAGTGAAGTGGCACAAACATAGCTCACTGCAGCCTTAACCTCCTGGGCTCAAGGGATCCTCTTGCCTCAGCCTCCCGAGTAGCTGGGACTACAGGTACATGCCATCATGCCTGGGTAATTTTTTGTATTTCTAGTAGAGACAGGGTTCTCAAACTCCTGACCTCAAGTGACCCACTCACCTCAGCCTTCCAAACCTTCCAAAGTGCTGGGATTACAGGTGTGAGCGACCGTGCTCAGCATGTTCTTCACTGTTTTATTGCCCACAATGAAACAGTTTCCAGCACTTAACAGATGCTCAATAAATATGTGTTAAGGAATGATTCTCTAACTTGCCACAGGGAGCAAGGGTGGATTTAAAGATGCACTGAGCATCTACAATGTGCCAGACACCCTGTAGACCCTCTCCTTTACTTCCCCTCAGAACCACCATTTTATAGGAAGGAAACTGAGGCTCACAGTAATGCCTCTCTCTTAAGATCACACAGGGAGTAAGGGGCTCTATGCCAGCCTGGGGACACAGGTCTGGCCAAGTTTGGGTCCTCCATTACCCCACAAGACCATCTGTTTTTTGTTTTTTGTTTTTTTTTCGAGACGGGAATTCGCTATTGTTGCCCAGGCTGGAGTGCAGTGGCACGATCTCCGCTCACTGCAACCTCTGCCTCCCAGGTTCAAGTGATTCTCCTGCCTCAGCCTCCCAAGTAGCTAGGAATAGAGGCATATACCTCCATGCCCGTCTAATTTTTTGTATTTTTAATAGAGATGGGGTTTCTCCATGTTGGTCAGGCTGGTCTTGAACTCCCAGCCTCAGGTGATCTGCCCGACTCGGCCTCCCAAAGTGCTGGTTTACAGGCGTGAGCTATTGCGCCCAGGCTTTTTTTTTTTAGAGACAGGATCGCCGGGTGTGGTGGCTCACACCTGTAATCCCAGCACTTTGGGAGGTCGAGGCAGGCGGATCACAAGGTCAGGAGTTCAAGACCAGCCTGGCCAAGATGTGAAACCCTGTCTCTAATAAAAATACAAAAAAAATTAGCCAGACGTGGTGGCAGGCGCCTGTAATCCCAGCTAGTCAGGAGACTGAGGCAGAGAATTGCTTGAACTGGGGAGGTAGAGGTTGCAGTGAGCCGAGATGGTACCACTGCACTCCAGCCTGGGAGACAGAGCAAGACTCCATCTCAAAATAAATAAATAAATAAATAAATAAATAAATAAATAAAATAAAAATAGAGACAGGATCTCGCCACGTTAGCCAGGCAAGTCTCAAACTCCTAGGCCCCAGCAATCCTCCCACAGTCATGAGCCACTGTACTTGAGCAAGACCATCTTTTCTTTTTCTTTTTTTAGACGGAATGTTGCTTTGTCACCCAGGCTGGAGTGCAGTGGCACCATCTTGGCTCATTGCAACCCTCACCTTCCTGGTGCAAGCAATTCTCCTGACTCAGCCTCCCGAGTAGTTGGGATTACAGGTTCATGCCACCATGTCAGGCGAATTTTTTTGTAATTTTAGTAGAGACAGGGTTTCACCATGTTGGCCAGGCTGGTCTCGAACTCCTGAACTCAGGCAATCTGCCCACCTAGGCCTCCCAAAGTGTTGGGATTATAGGCATGAGCCACGGCGCCCAGCCCAAGACCATCTTTTAAAATGTGGCCTGGATGGGAGTCCGGGAAACTGTCCCTGAAGTCTGAGATCCTTGAGATCTAGCTGTGTGACCAGAAGGACGCTGTCAGCCTCTCTGGGACTTGTTTTTTTTCAATTTGTCCATCTTGGACCATCCTCCATGGCTCCACCCAAAAACACAGCCCAGCCCTCCTGTGCCCTGGGAAGGGTTCTAACCGTGTCTTGGCAGGAAGTTCACTCTGTGTGATGAGGTTGATGAATTCCCCAACATTGTCCTCCAGGGTCTTTCCAAACTCCTCCAGGACATCAAAGGGGTTGGAGACGTCTGGAACCCCCTGGGCTGGGGTTGGGCCTGCCAGGAAGATGGGCAGCGGTGCAAAAATTTTTTTTTTCTTTTTGAGACGCAGACTTGCCGTGTTAAGTGCTATGATCTCGGCTCACTGCAACCTCCACTTCCTGAGTTCAAGCAGTTCTCCTGCCTCAGCCCCCCAGGTAGCTGGGATTACAAGCGCACGCCACCACAACTGGCTAATTGTTTTGTATTTTTAGTAGAGATGGGGTTTCACCATGTGGGCCAGGCTGGTTTCGAACTCCTGACCTCAAGTGATCTGCCTGCCTCGGCCTCCCAAAGTGCCGAGATTACAGGCATGAGCCACCGCACCCGGCCAAAAATTTGTTATTGGAACCCCCTTGGGATGGGATCCTGGGATGGATAAGGAGATCCTTGGGGATCATGTGGTTAGAATGGGGAGGATACTGGAGTGACCGCGTGGGGCTCAAGCCGCTGGGAATTGCCTTACTCAGCACTGACCTCCTCCCACAGCCCCTCGCCCTGATCACCCAGTTTCAAGGCGGTAGAAGGAGGACAGCCAATCCTAGAGGCGTAGGCGTCAATACGTCATCAGATGCTAGGGCTCTCCTGGACAGATTTGGCGCCTGCCGAACTGAGCCTGGGAGAACCTGGAGACCCACCCGACCACAATGGGGCAACCACGACCCAGAGGGGGCCCCAGAGCTCTCAGAGGTCCTCTAAGCCGGGACCCAGGCCTGTAGCCACCTTCACTCTTCCAAAAGTCCAACTCCGCAATTCTCCCATCCCACTTTTACCTTTCAAGACCATCGACAGAACCACCACCAGGAGCGACAGGAAGAGCCTCATGGCGGGGCCGGAGGGGCACTCTGGAGGCAGAGGGGGAGGGGTGCAGGGGATCAGTAGCACCCTCCTCCGTGCCTCCCTTTCTTCCTCCCACGATACCCTCATCTCCTTTTTTTGAGTTCTTGCAGAGTGGAGGCTGGTGTCCCTCCCAAACACTCAGCACCAACCTGAATCCTTGCTGGAGGGCTCCGTTGGGAGGTCCTGTACCACCAGCAGGACCTTTATCAGGCTGGGGAGGGGGCGGGGCAGGTTGATGTTGATCTCCCTCCTCCTGAGCCTGCCTCCTTCTGCCCACCCAGGTTTTTCTCCTCTGCCCCTGGCCCGTGGGCGTTGGGGTCAGGTGGGGTCCCGGGCACTTCCCTTAGCCCCAAAGCCTTTTACCATTCAGCACCCTCACCTCCCAATCTCCCTGACTCTAGGGGGTCCTCAGACTACCATAGCCCCTTTCCTCAACTCAGAGGGCAGCCTCGTCCTGTCTCTGTGGACATCCTCCCTCAGGGGCCTTCCAGTAATAACCCTGTGATCTCATCCACCCCTCATTCACACCATGTCCCTACACCACCTCTTTCCCCCACTTCCCCTCTCTTAGCAAGCCTCCTTAGCCCCAACAACTCTTCCTTTATGTTGCTGGGGTCTCTCAGTTGGCCCCGCACTCCTACCCTGCGTGCCACCTCCAATTTCTTTCAGATCAGCCCTTGAAGCACCCCAGACCACCCTGATACTCTCTGGGCTCTTAACTTGATGGTTCTGTCTCCCTTTTTTGCGAGGGGGTCACCTTAGCTGGACGACACTGTAAAAACCTCACTTGCATTAGCCAGGTGTGGTGGCTCATGCCTGTAATTCCAGCGCTCTGGGAAGCTGAGGAGGTAGGATTGCTTGAGCCCAGGAGTTTGAGACCAGCCTGGGCAACATAGGGAGACCTCATCTCTACAAAAAAATTCAAAAATTACTGGGTGTGGTGGCGCACACCTGTAGTCCCAGTTCCTCAAGAGGCTGAGGTAGGAAGATTGCTTGAGCCCAGGAGTTCAAGGCTGCAGTGAGCTGTGATTGCACCACTGCACTCCAGCCTGGTGGGACAGTGAGACCCCATCTCAAAAAATTAAAACCCTCGGCTGAAAAGTTCTGAGTGTATGCCCCTTCCTCCCTTCCACCGGGACTCACCCCCTTTGCCTGACTACCTCCCCACAACACTCCATCTGCTCTTATTCACCCTCCAAGGCCCCTCCTGGCACCAAGCCTGCTTCCCCCCATCACCACATCCGTCCCCCAAGGCTGGAGTCCAATTCCTTCCCCACCAGCTGCCTTTGACCGCCAGTGACCCTGGCAGCTGGTGGGGAGGGTGTCCTCGGCCCAGCCTCAGACTCTAGGTTGGCTGGCCTTGTGCCCCCACAACCACGTGTCAGCCTGGCGGTAGGGGGGTGGTTGTGAAAGGGACAGCGTAGACCAGACCCTGGCAGGATTGCAACATCCCTCTGGCCGGCTCAGAGCTTCCAGTCCCTGTCAGCCCCAGGGGCCCCCCTACTTCCCCAACTGAGCCCAACATTCCCCAAACATCCACCCAGATGTCTGCTTCCCTGACCCCACAAGAATAGAAAACAGTGCTCCTGCTTTTCCAACCTCATCCTCTCCTCTGCTATAGGAGTTTCTGTTTTATAGATGGGGAAACTGTCGCCCAACCAAGAACATCCAGTAGGGCTCGGCGAGGGGCAAAGAGGGGGCTACTGGCTGGGCGCAGTGGCTCACACCTGTAATCACACCACTTTGGGAAGCTGAGGCGGGAGGATCTGCTTGAGCCCAGGAGTTTGAGACCAGCCTGGGCAACATAATAAGACCCCATCTCTAGGAAAAAAAATAAAAATTTGGCCAGGCGTGGTGTGCCACGCCTGTAATCCCAGCACTTTGGGAGGCCTGGGCGGGTGGATCATTTGAGGTCAGGAGTTCGAGACCAGCCTGACCAACTGGTGAAACCCTGTCCCTGTTAAAAATAGAAAAAATTAGCCAGCTGTGGTGGCGCAGGCCTATAATCCCAGCTACTTGGGAGGCTGAGGCACAAGAATCGCTTGAAATGGGGAGGCAGAGGTTACAGTGAGCCGACATGGTGCCACTGCACTCCAGCCTGGATGACAGAGCCAGACTCCATCTCAAAAAAAAAAAAAAAAATTTGGCCGGCTGCAGTGGCTCACGCCTGTAATCCTAGCGCTTTGGGAGGCTGAGGCTGACCAACATGGAAAAACCCGGTCTCTGCTAAAAATACAAAATGCGCCAGGTGTGGTGGCACATGCTTGTAATCCCAGCTACTTGGGAGGCTGAGGCAGGTAGAGAGGTTGTGGTGAGATGAGATTGTGCCATTGCACTCCAGCCTGGGCAACAAGAGCGAAACTCCGTCTCAAAAAACAAAACAAGCCGGGCGCAGTGGCTTATACCTGTAATCCCAACACTTTGGGAGGCCGAGGTGGGTAGATCACAAGTTTCAGGAGATCGAGACCATCCTGGCTAACACGGTGAAACCCCGTCTCTACTAAAAATACAAAAAATTAGCCGGGCATGGTGGCGGGCGCCTGTAGTCCCAGCTACTGGAGAGGCTGAGGCAGGAGAATGGCGTGAACCCGGGAGGTGGAGCTTGCAATGAGCTGAGATCATGCCACCGCACTCCAGCCTGGGCGACAGAGCGAGACTCTGTCTCAAAACAAAACAAAACAAAAAAAACTTACTTATTTGCCACAAAAACGCTATCAGGTGAGCATCTTTATCATTTCCATTGTACAGATGGGGAAACAGGCTTGGGGTGGGGGCGGAGCCACTTACTTCCCTACCAGCAAGTGGTTTTGTTTTGTTTTTTTTTTTTTTTTTTGAGACAGAGTCTCGCTCTGTCGCCCAGGCTGGAGTCCAGTGGCCGGATCTCAGCTCACTGCAAGCTCCGCCTCCCGGGTTCACGCCATTCTCCTGCCTCAGCCTCCCGAGTAGCTGGGGCTACAGGCGCCCGCCACCTCGCCCGGCTAGTTTTTTGTATTTTTTAGTAGAGACGGGGTTTCACCAGGTTAGCCAGCATGGTCTCGATCTCCTGACCTTGTGATCCGCCCGTCTCGGCCTCCCAAAGTGCTGGGATTACAGGCTTGAGCCACCGTGCCCGGCCTAAGCAAGTGGTTTTGAACCCAGACCCTCTCACACTACCTAAACCACGCCAGGACAACCTCTGCCCCTCTCCACCAAAATCCAAGAGGTCAAGTGGATGTTGGAGGTGGCGTGGGCCCAGGGAGGTCTCTGACCTCTGCCCCAGCTCCAAGGTCAGCACGCAGGGAGGGCTGTGTGTTTGCTGTTTGCTGCTTGCAATGTTTGCCCATTTTAGGGACGGGAACAGGCTGAAAGTTGTTCAGGCTGGACTTCAGAGGCAGCACACAAACAGCTGCTGGAGGATGGGAACTGAGGGGTTGGAAGGGGGCAGGGTGAGCCCAGAAACTCCAGTGTGCCTCTGAGCCTGCAGCTCTGTTCTCTAAGTCACCAAGCCCCCAAACCACTCTCATCTCTTTCTCTCTATCCCTGGATCCTGTCCCTGGTCTGAATCCCACCCCCTCATCCCCCAAATCCCTGCACCCTCCTCTCTGCTAATCTTCTGGTATCTCTAGCCACTCCCCTCCTGGCTGGATACTCTGGGTCATGGTAGGGAAGGCTGGGGTAAAAAAGAGTTTGAAATGTCCCTCCTAATGCATGTTGAAAGATTGAATTATAATTCACATTCCTTTTATTTATTTTTTTTTTTGAGATTGAGTCTCACTCTGTTGCCCAGGCTGGAGTGCAGTGGGGGAATCTAGGCTCACTGTAGCCTCCACCCCGCAGGTTCAAGAAATTCTCGTGCCTCAGCCTCCCAAGTAGCTGAGACTCCAGGCACCCGCCACCACGCCTGGCTAATTTCTTAATTAATTATTAATTTTTTTTTTGAGATGGAGTTTCGCTCTTGTTGCCCAGGCTGCAGTACAATGGTGTGATCTTGGCTCACCGCAACCTCTGCCTCCTGGGTTCAAGCAATTCTCCTGCGTCAGCCTTTGGAGTAGCTGGGATTACAGGTGTGTGCCACCATGCCCGTCTAATTTTTTGTATTTTTAATAGAGATGGGGTTTCTCCATGTTGGTCAGGCTGGTCTCAAACTCCCAGCCTCAGGTGATCTCCCCAACTCGGCCTCCAAAAGTGCTGGGGTTACAGACATGAGCCACCGTGTCCAGCTACATTTACCCTTTGAAAATGTACAGTTCGATGGTTTTTCCTATATTGGAAAGGTTGCACAATCATCACCAGTATCTAATTCAGAACATGGCTCACTGCAGCCTCAACCTCCCTGATTCAAAGCCATCCTCCTACCTCAGCCTCCCGCATGGCTGGAACCCCAAGGTGTTCACCACCATGCCCAGCAAATTTTTTTTTTTTTTTTTTTTTTTTTTTTTTTTTTTAGGACGGATGGAGTCTTACTATTGCCCAGGCTGATCTTGAACTCCTGAGCTGAAGCAATCCTCCCACCTTGGCCTCTCAAAGTCTTAGGATTACAGGCATGTGCCACCACATCTGGCAGGGGATGATTTTGGAAGAGAACTGGAGGAAGTGAGGAGAGAGCTAGGCAGGCTTGACCCTGGGAGGCAGAGGTTGCAGTGGGCTGAGATGGTGCCACTGCACTCCAGCCTGGGCAACAGAGTGAGACTCTGTCTCAAAAAAAAAAAAATCTGGGGCGCGGTGGCTCAAGCTGAATCCAGCACTTGGAGGCGAGGGGTGAACACGAGGTCAGGAGATCGAGACCATCTGGCTATAGGTGAAACCCTTCTACTAAAAAAAAAAAAAAAACTAGCCGGGCATGGTGGCGGCGCCTGTAGTCCCGCACCGGAGGCTGAGCAGGAGAATGGCGTGAACTGGGAGGCGGAGCTTGCAGTGAGCCGAGATCGCGCACTGCACTCCAGCCTGGGTGAACAGCGCGAGACTCCATCTCAAAAAAAAAAAAAAAAAAAAATCTGACTTGAGTTCTAACAGGCTGCTGAGAGAGAAGAGAGGAGAGTATAGGAGTTTGGAGAGTTGATTTTGGGGGAGAAGGGTATGCATTAACCCCAGAGAGTAATATTTATACATTTATTTATTATCTTTCTTTCTTCTCTTTTTGGTAGAGATGGTGTCTCACCATGTTACCCAGGCTGGTCTCGAACTCCTGGCCTCAAGTGATCCTCCCACCTCAGCCTTCCAAAGCGCTGGGATTACAGGCATAAGCCGCCATGCCCAGCTTCAGGATTTCCTTTTATATTTTGTCTTTTTTTTTTTTTTTTTTTTCCTTTTTGTGGAGAACGGGGTCTCGCTATATTACCCAGGCAGGTCTTGAACTCCTGGGCTCAAGCTATCCTCCCACCTCTGCCTCCCTGAGAGCTGGGATTACAGGCGTGAGCCACTGCGCCCGGCTCCTTTTATGTTTTGAGATGGAGTCTTGCTCTGATGTCCAGGCTGAAGTGCAGTCGCATGATCTCCACTTACTGCAGCCTCCACCTCCTGGGTTCAAGCGATTCTCATGCCTCAGCCTACCGAGTAGCTGGGATTACAGGTGCCGGCCACCAACCCTTGCTAATTTTTGTATTTTTAGCAGAGACGCGGTTTCACCATGTTGGCCAGAATGGTCTCCAACTCCTGGCCTCGAGTGATCCTCCTGCCTTGGGATCCCAAAGTGCTGGGATTACAGGTGTGAGCCACCGAGCCTGGCTTCAGGAGTTCCTTTTTTTTTTTTTGAGTTGGAGTTTTCCTGTTGTTGCCCAGGCTGGAGTGCAACAGTGCAATCTCCACTCACTGCAACCTCTGCCTCCTGGGTTCAAGTGATTCTCCTGCCTCAGCCTCTCGAGTAGCTGGGTTTACAGGCACCCGCCACCACGCCTGGCTAATTTTTTTTGTACTTTTAGTAGAGACGGGGTTTCATCATGTTGGCTAGGCTGGTCTCCAACTCCTGGCCTCAAGTGATCCGCCCGCCTTGGCCTCCCAAAGTGCTGGGATTACAAGCATGAGCCACCGAGCCCGGCCTCAGGGTTTCCTTTTTAAGGCTGCGTTACATTCCATTGCATGTATAGACCACATTTCCTTGACCCATTCATCTGTTGATAAACATTTAGGTTGTTTCCATATCTTGGGTATTGAACAGAGCTGCAGTGAACAAGGGAGGGTCCTGATTTCAATTCTTTTGAATAAATACCCAGAAGTGGGATTGCTAGATCGTTTGGGAGTTCTATCTTTAATGTTTTGAGAAAACCCCATACAAACCCCATACTGTTTTCCACAGTGGCTGCGGTGTTTGATGTTCCAGCTAGGACTGTGGGAGTCCCTTATATATTTTGATTTTTTTTTTTTTTTTTTTTTTTGAGATGGAGTCCCACTCTGTCGCCCAGGCTGGAGGGTTGTGGTGCAATCTTGGCTCACTGCAACCTTCGACTCCTGGGTTCAAGGGATTATCTTACCTCAGCCTCCCGAGCAGCTGTGATTACAGGCATGTACCACCCCACCTGGCTAACATTTTTGTATTTTTAGTAGAGACAGGGTTTCACCATGTTGGCCAGGCAGGTCTCGAACCCTTGACTTCAGGAGATCGGCCTGCCTCAGCCTCCCAAAGTGTTGGGATTACAGGCGTGAGCCACTTCGCCTGGCCTGAATATTAACCCCTTATTAGATATGTGGCTTACAAATATTTTTCTTTGAAATCTTAAGTTGGGCGCGGTGGCTCACGCCCGTATTCCTGGCACTTTGGGAAGCCAAGGCAGGTGGATCACTCAAGGCCAGGAGTTTGAGACCAGCCTGGCCAACATGGCGA